GATGGCCGCTTGTTTATCTTCAAGCCTTTAAGACCCCAGACGCTATATCTTTTGATAGCTGGGCACCATCAGTTCTCTTCACCACATTTGCTTATGCACACATTTGTCTTCAGTGATTGTGTCAGTAAAGCGGGCACCCACTGATAATGATTTTCAGTTCTTTGATGTCTGATACTTGATCCCTTCTGCACCTCATGGTCAGACAGGCTGGTGTGCTTCTTCCATGTGGGCTTTGGTGCTTCTGAGATAATTGGCCGCTTGTTTGTCTTCAAGCCTTTAAGACCCCAGACGTTATATCTCTTGGTAGCCGTAATGCGTTCTTTTGCTCTAATTTAGTTTGAACCAGAACCACCACAACCACCCCAAATTCTTAAAGAAATGAATAGGTTGCTCACCATCCCTAACATTTCACCTCTCCCTGTTTCATCCAGTGTTTGCTCTGACTTATCAACCATAGCAGTTAAGTCATGGAGTATTACCGCAGAAAACTATTTACACTGACAATTAAGCAAAACTAGAATCTCAAGCTTTATGTCAAGCTGATAACTAAAGTGTCCCGCTGGATACCTCCATGATACACAACCTACACTCCAACACAGATAACAATATCGCCCACACAGTTGACATGCAGCAGATGTCATGGGCTATGTGAAACAGATGTCATGCAATAAATTCAAAGGCAAAGCTAAATGTGAGTACTCAAAAAGTGTTAAATATCTATAGGTGAAAATGGATGAAAGGAAACCTGGGAAGATGATTGATTCAATTGCATGAGCGTTAATGCCTCTGATATAAGGTGACCAGACATCCCGCTTTTGGCGGGACAGTCCTGACTTTTGGCGTTTTAAAAAAGTCCTGATTTTTGGAAAGAATGCACGACAAGCTACGGAATGGTCTATTTGGTCCATCTAGACCAAATTTTTAATCAAGGAATGGGGTGGGGGTGGGGGGTTCCTTGATGACGCAGCCAATGCCCCCCTTGAGTTTAAGATGGCAGCAGGCTCAAGTGGGGCCCCTTGGATGCCTAAGCCTGGGGACGACTACAGCTACAATCAGTTTTCCACATACGGTGATGCCAATGCTGCTGGTGCTTACTATCAGGATTATTACAGTGGTGGCTACTACCCCGCCCAGGATCCGGCCCTGCTCCCCTCCCCCACCCCCCCGGAAATTGCCCCGGATGCCTCCTTCATCGATGACGATGACGAAGCTTTTAAGCCACTGCAGGACAAGCGGAACCGAGGAAGGGAGGAGATCACCTTTGTGGAGATCAAAGGTGATGACCAGCTCAGTGGGGCCCAGCAGTGGATGACCAAGTCTTTGACAGAAGAGAAAACCATGAAGTCGTTCAGCAAAAAGAAAGGTGAGCAGCCAACAGGCCAGCAGCGGCGGAAACACCAGATCACGTATCTGATTCACCAGGCGAAGGAGCGCGAGCTGGAGCTGAAGAACACGTGGTCAGAACAAGCTCAGCCGCCGCCAGACCCGAGCCAAATACGGATTCTAGGGCCCGGATCGGATCTCTGCAGGACCACCAGCCGGTCCGGAGCCCCAGCCTTGCTTCTGGGCCCCAGCTGCTCCCAGCCCGGGATCTCTCCCCAGGACCCAGCCCTCGCCTCTGTGAGAAGGAACCTCTTTGATAGATTTTTTCTTAACAAGCTAGGAAACTCGCTCCTGCTTTCTGTGTAGGAGCTCGCACAGACTCACGCGGACGCCTCAGAAGGGGCTCCCAGTGGGTGGGGGCTTTGCTCCCTGGTGGATGTGAAGACATGTGGACCCCCCTCCTCCCCCTTTTTGGTTTTTCAAGGAACCCCCACCCCGTCAATGGTGTCCCGCTTTAAATCTGGTCACCTTACTCTAATATATAAAGTGATAAATAAATTGCTTAGCAGGTAAACTTGCCAGATAAATGGACAGAACCTATCAGCAGAGAACTCATTCAAGAGGAACGACAGCTGATTAGCAACCCTGAACAAAATATATATTTACCAGAAACCAAGGTAGACGACAGCAAGCTGTCACTCTTTTCCCCCTAATCAAATGAACAAGGAAGAGCAAGCACCTCCAGGTCACGGGAAGGGAACAAGACACACCTGCAGCCTGGGGTGGGGCTCGAGCAGTGGATCCAGAGGGAAAGTGCCTGACAGTGTGGACTCTCAAGAACTTGAAATAGTCATTTCCATGTATTCAGTAATTTCACTGCTGGGGGTGTATATTACAGAAATAATTCTAGTTTTAAGCAGAAGGAAAAGTTTTTTGGGTTTCCCCCCCCTTTAGGATAGTGATACGCTCAAAAACAGCTAAATACCAGTATGTACTAAGGGAATGATTTAATTATTGTCTGCCCACAGAAATACTATTTTTAAAAAATGTTTCTGAAAGTTCTGTAATAACATGGAACACTTTAGTCACCAAACAGATATGCATTTCTTAACGTCTGTGGGAGAAAGACGGGGCTTTTTATCCCCATAAAGACATACAGTCTCAGAAACTCACAGGGGAAGTTCTGCCCTATCCAGCAGGGTCGCTGTGAGTTGCTATCAACTTTAAGGCAGTGAGGTTTTTTGTGTTGTTTTCTGGAGGGGCCATAGGTATATTCTTTGTTTTGTTTTTTAAAGGGAAAACAGCCCTGGGCTGTATCATATTAATGATTTGAACGATCCCAAACCCAGACTCTTGCAGTCCTGAACCACAGCAAGACACGGGCAGGGGAAGCAGAGAACATGACTCTGGACACAGGCTCTCTCGGGCTTTGTCTGGCAGGCAAGGATTGGACTAAGGACTACTTACTGCTTAGGAAGGCAGGAACAGCAGGCAGAAATTCCCCTTTCACTCATTTCCTCTTGATCCACTCCCCATTGGACCCTGTCTGCCACCACCAGTGTCAGTTCCTGTTCCTCTGTCCTTTGCCAGCAGCTCCAGTAGCAGCAGCAGCAAAGAAAGCGACCAGAAGTCTAGCGACGCCTGTGCAGTTCAATGTGCTAACACGATGTCCAAATCACTAACAGCTTATTGCACAGAACATGTGGTCTTTCGTGACCAAACCAAACACCGAACTGCCATGGAGTTGGTTCTGACTCAGCAATGCTAGAGGGCGGGGTGGAACTGCCCCTGGGGGTTTCCGAGACGGTAATGCTTTATGGGAGTAGAAAGCCTCATCTTTCTCCCTGCAGCTGCTAGTGGTTTCGAATGACTGACCTTGTGGTGAGCAGCCCAATGTGTAACCACTGTTACACCTGGGCTCCTACATTAAATGACACCTGTAAATAATCATTAAGACCCCTTTCTGAGTTCTGGAAATACAAAGATGAATGTAACAGTCCAACCCCACTAAAAAGCTTAAAATTAAACAGTGAATAAGACCCACAAAGATATCATAAGCTGTGTTTCAAGCACTTTGTAAGAAAATATTTTTAAACAGGGGACCAGTTCACTGTCCCTAAGACCCCTTGGAGAACCGGACTATAGTTTAAAAAAATTCCTATGCACACTGCACATATCTTATTTTGAAGTAAAAAACAAAACAGGGCAAAAACACCCGGTGGGCCGGATAAATGTGGCCCGCGTGCCATAGTTTGAGAACCCCTGATATAAAGGACACAATGGAGACGCAAAGGATGGTGTGCTTCCTTATACGTGAATCAGGTCCAAAAAGATTTCACAGCTATAATAATGCTGAATCTTGAAAGATTAATTCACCAGGCCGCTGGCATTTGGGGAGTAAAATACTTAGGACAGAACAAGCGTGTCAGCAAAGGCTTATGCTTTTGTTTTTAAATTTTTATAGTGGTAACTCCAAATGTAACAAAATATTTGCCATTTAAATAACACGTGTACAATTCAGTGATATTAATTGAAGTGAATAATATGTATTAATATTTCCACGATAACAACATGTTTGTAGAAAACCCCTGCTTATGGAAACAGATGAACCTGCACAACGGTCTTCAGGTGAGTGAATGAGTGACTCCACACGGGAGTGTCTAGATAAGAAATTCTGAAGTGGTGAATCCCTGTCATTGGCAGTGCTCCAGAACAATCTAGAAGCCCACCCAATAGGGGGCTGTGAAAGGGACTTCCGAATTGGTGTGCAGGGCAGAGGAAATTACCTCCAAGATCCGTTAAGATGGTACAATTCTAAAATAGGCTAACAAGATGAAATCATTCAAAAGGAAAAGGCTTAGTTCACATGACATTTCCATTGTCCTCTGGTTTTTCAGGATGAGGCCTCTGAACCTCTAGCATCAGCATGACCGGGAAACTCATTGGAAGTGCAAAGCTTGGTCCCCACCACAGACCTGCCGAATCAGAAATGGGATTGGATCCTGCAATCTATGTGTTTTAAGAAGCCCTCCAAGTGATTCTGATGCAGGCTAAACTGAGAGCCATTGCTCCCAGTCATCTTTTTCACCTTATCCAATAAAGCTACTGCATCGTTGGTACCTCTTAAACAGCCGGGCTTTGCATATCATGATTGCACATATTGTGTTGTACTCATGCCAGAATAGATTTCGAGCATGCCTCTTTATATGACTTGCGCTTTTATGTGTCTTTCAGGTGTTGGGAAATCTTCACTAGTCCATCTCTTATGCCAAAATCAAGTGCTGGGAAATCCATCATGGACTGTTGGCTGCTCGGTGGATGTCAGAGTATGTGTCTCTTATACTTTAGTTATTCAACAGTCACCTTACAGATAGCCTTGATCAAACTACATGCTCACTCTATAATACTGTGGGCCAGACTCACCTCCTCTCTACCAGGCACTCGATTGAAACCTTTATATGTCTGTTTATTTCATCTCTTCTAAACTGATGTACAGTGCAGAAAATGAAGCATAAAGAATTTAACCCAGACACTTGGCTCATAATAGCAGAGCCAAAGTCTGAACTCCATCTGTTTCTGTAGACTGTAATTTTAGTTATTATGATTTTTAATTACTGTGATACATCTCCAGAGTTCACTCAAGTTCTGCCTTTAAGTATAGTGTCCAGGCAAAAGCCTTTGGAGCCTCATGTCGAGATTGTCTGTTCCTCTTCACAGGTTGGAAAACCTGGTGCAGTTTCCACTACGTTAACCATCTCCCCAAGTGTTGGCTTTGCGGATCCCACTTAGTCCAAAGCAAAGGTTTCTTCTGGTACACCTTTCAGTGAAAAACCAATGAGGGAAGAAGAGTAATTAGCTGAACGGACCATTTTTTTTCTCTTCAGTTCTTTGAAGCCATTTGTAAAATGGTAGGAGTGGAGATAGTAGTGGCCCCATCAGAACCTAACTTCAGGGACCAAATTGCCAATGAAGATCAGCCCAAAGCCGATCTCTCTGAGGTAGAAGTCAGACGTATTCCGCTTGAGCCCCTTACCAGTGAGGACACCAGCCACACACACACACCCCCAGCATCTTTTTCTCTGGTGGGTTTGAGAATTCATTGCCAGGGCCGCACAGAACCTCACAGACCATACTTCAGTTCAGTAACTTATTAAGATTGTGGTTGGGGGCAGGATCAACAGGCTTCAGTTCAAGATGAAGATCAGAAACAGAGACTAACGTCTCCCTTTTTCTGTGTAAGACAGCCCTCTCCTCTTGGCCCGAAGGTCTTTTACCACTCACATGGCCGCACAGGGCCCCTTCTGGGTCTTTCAGTGTTTTCAGTGTTATAGCCCTGGATCCTTGTTGTAGCTCTTCTAGAAGGTCCTTTGTCTCCACCTTCTTTTTCTCTTCTTCCGTTATCTTTCTGCATAAAAAGCCTCTGTGGGGTTTACTGCACATATAATCAACCATTTGTCAATGTTAAGGCTAATTAAAAAAAATGAAAACACTTGAGCAATACAACCAAAAATAATAGGATAAATTAGTATCAATAATATTAACATAGAAACATCATAAATTAAACTTGTTGATGAAATTAATAACACAAATTAATGTCAGTATCCAAGCTTGGCCCCACCTAGGGTGAGGGACACAGAATGACTAATCCCTTCTCAGTAGACTCTAGAGCAACGGTTCTCAACCTGGGGGGCGCGACCCCTTTGGAGATCGAAAGACCCTTTCACAGGGGTCACCTGATTCATGACTAGCAAAATTACAGTGATGAAGTAGCAGTGAAAATAATGTTATGGTTGTGGTGGGGGGGGCCGGTCACCACACATGAGGAACTGTATGAAAGGATTTTGACATTAGGAAGGTTGAGAACCACTGCTATAGATGCTTTATTTGCATAGTAGGCCATAGTTGCCTCTTTTGCGTTTTCCTTTCAAAGTGCCTACCCATCCTGAGGTTGAAGTCCAGGCAGGGGAAAATGTATCAAAGCATGTTGTTTACAGTTTACCTTGGGAATGTCAGTCAAGCTGCATTAAACCAACAAATTTTCTAGGGTAGAAAACTAGGGCAAAGATAATGCCTCCAGACTTGGGGTGGGCTTGGGAGGGGAGGTTTTCTAAAGCTGTTTTCCAAACGAAAAGAACTCGTTTCATCACAGCATTGTTCCTTAGCCCCTGACTTAACTTGCTGCCGATTAGAAGTCTTGTTGACCTTGTTAATTCTTCTAAAGGGGATTTCTTCTCTCTAGTTGCTTTTAGATTTCTTTTGATGCCCTGCTATTTGGCTAACCTATATCAAGTTGTAGATTAATTTTTGTTCATCCAATTCAGAATTTATTTTTTATGTCTTTATATTTCAAAAAATGTAGTCATTAACTGTTTAATTCCTTCCTCCAATTCCTTCCATCATCTTTTTGAACTTTTGGATTTTTGTCCTCCATATCTACTCCCATAAAGAGTTGCAGTCTCAGAAACCTACAGGGGCAGTTTTACTCTGTCCTAAAGGGTCACTAAGAATCAGAATCCACTCGCTGGCAGATGAGGACAGTAAGTTAGGTTTGGGCTTTGATGTCTCTTAATTGTACTTTCAGGCTTAATGGCTGAATGCTCTTTTTATCCCTTTTCTGAATGATGCCCTCCTATCAATCTTACAGTTAAGTAAAAAAAAAAAAATCTCCCCATCTATTTCTAGTCTGCTTTTTAATATAGCCACTTCATTTTAAATATAATTTATAACTTCTAGATAGTCCTTAAGTTCTATTTTAATATTTTAAAAAAATTTTTTATTTCTGTTGCTGCTAGGACCCCAGGGATTTTAATAGTCCATAACCAGTTAGATTCATTTCTCAGCGTAAGAATTTTCTTAACATATCCAAACCATACTGCCATCTAATTGATTCTGACTCATAGAAACTCTCTCCACAGGATTTCCAAGGTTGTAAATCTTACTTGGAGCAGAAAGCCTCTTCTTCCTTGAAGTGGCTGGTGGGGTCGAACTTCTGACCCTGCAGTTAGCCCAACATTAATACGTAATGTAAATATGTATATATGTAAATATGTATATACATAATGTACGTTACCCCAGCAACTCAGTGTGGCACAGGCCGGAGGTTACCATCTCCTGAGGATCTTTTTCTCGCTCTGCCACCCCCACCCAATGTTCTTGGCAGCAACTTTTGGCTGATTTTCTGAACCAGTAGACAGTTTGTCCTACTCACTGCCACCAAGTCAATTCTGATTCCTGTGAGTTTCTAAGACTCTTTACCGAAGAAGAAAACCCCATCTTTTTTCCAAGGAGTGACTGGACCAATGGCTTAGTGATTACTCATTGGGCTGTGATTCCCAAGGTTGGTAGTTCGAAACCACCAGTTGCTGCAGAGCACTGGAGAAAAGACAGGCCTTTCTGCTCCTAGAGTCCCAGACTGGGAAACTCACAGGGTGCCAGTTCTACCCTGCCCTGTAAAGTCGCCATGACTTCATAGAAGTGAGTTTGAGGTTTTCCTATTAGCTATTTAACTGATTGGGCAGCCCATTGAGGGTTCAGATTTCATGAAGTACCTACACTCCACTTTTTATCATTCACCCACATATATTTTTACCATAAAAGCTAGAAAATAGCTCTACTATTCTTAGATGAGCATGGAAACTCCAGACACCAGCCCCTGGAGATAGATCAGAATCTGGGTCAATTCCCACTTCTCACTCTGATCTTAAGTTCTTTCTGCATTTCAAGCATTGGGGAATATTTTGTTTCTGAGCCTGACTTTTATCTTCTGTTTGCTTTCTTTTGTTTGCCACTCCCCTGCCCCCCAATACACACACACACACACACACACACCACATTTTTCTAGGGTTTCTTTGAATTTGAAGGTGGAGGGGAATTATCATTTCAGATCATGATGCCCAAAGTTTTAGATATAACAGAAAACAGGTCCTAGGTAATGAGTTAATGACCATTTTATTTATGCTTAGGAGAGCCGGTAGTGAGTTCTGGATAAAATTTCCTTTGGACTTTTTAGATCTTTCTGGGAGAGAACATGGCCTACCGAAAGGAATCTTAGATTTGAATATGTACATTCCAAGTCAATCCCCATTCTGTCCTTTACTTATTAAAGAAGGACTTTAGTCATTTTATCTCTCTGAACCTTTTACATCATCTGCATACCTACAGATTTGTTGAGAGGACCCGAGAAGCTGCACAATCATTGGTCTAATGTTTTAGACAGTTTGAAGTAGAAATTGACCTTTAGTTCAAAGTTCTGGTTCCCCATTATCCTAACCCTCATTTCCCATCTCTAATTGGTGCTCTGTCTACTCATGTTATTTATTTTCTCTCTCTTTTCCCCCTTATTTTATTGTGGTGGGCAAAACCTCCAGTATGTAGTTGACAGATGTCATAATAGGAAATCTGATTTTTCTTGTTTCCAATATTAGGGAAAATAGTCAATATAATGGAAACCCCTGGGTGGTACAAATGGTTAAGCCCTCAACTACAAAGCAAAAAGTTGGCAGTTCAGACCCACCCAGAGGCGTCCCCCTCCCCCAAGACAAACCTGGTGATCTACTGCTGAAAGATCTCAACCTGGAAACACCGTGGAGTCCGGTGTTATTCTGAAACCGCAACCTGGGAGCACCATGAATTTAAAACGAATAACAGGCTTTGTTAGGTTAAAGACATTCTTCCTAGACTTACTTTGATGGGATTTGTGTCACAGTAGATATTGAATTTTATCAGTTGTTAACCTTGAGTTTTCATGCTTCATTCAGTTACCATGGTAAATTATGTTAATTTTAAAATGTTAAGCCTGTCTTGCATTTCTTGAGTAAATCCAACTTGGTTTTAATGTATTAGTTTGTTCATATATCATTAGACTCAGTTTTCTCACTTTTTTCCCCTGCAGGCATTTGCATCGAAATTCATAAGATAGGCTTATCATGCTCCTTTTTAATATTTGTCTTAGGGTATGAAAGAGACCCAATTCCAAATATAATTTAAGGAGAACGTTTATTTAAGTCTCAGAAGGGACAAAGACAACACAAAGATGGAAACACATTTTCCAGATGAGGGATGCTGTTAGCATGAGGTCATCATGGTGTCCAAGGATTCACAGTCAGGGCATTAGTGAAGAAAGGTTTGGGACGAAGGAAACTAGCACAGATTCACCATTGATGGCCGATCACAATTGCAGTTACATCAGAGCTACAGGTGGAACTACAGAAGTGGGAACAGGGCCATGATTGGGACACATGCAGTATGTTAGAAGAGCTTTCCTATTGGTCCAGGGCCTTCTGACCTTGCAGTCAGATTTAGGACTGTGAGAACCCTGGACTGTCCA